TTAATTTTTTTACACTTTGACAATGTATGGAAGTCTTCTAAGATACAGAGAGGATATTATATTGTGTGATTCGATATTGGCTTTATCCAACGAGTTGAAATGGTGAATTTATTTATTCGCAGGTTGCCGATAAATAAACACCTTTTAACGGGTTGGGAAAAACAATATCAAAACACACAATTTCAGATGTTCTTTTCATCTCATACGATTTTCGTTTTTAACAAAATTTAGACCTCCCCTGTCAAACTACTTGAATATTTCTAATTCAAATTGATGACGTTAACTTGATGACGTAGCACCGTTGATGTTTACATGTGTCAAGAGAAAGTAGATCGAGTTCAAAATTTAGAATATTTGCTATCTGTATATCTTTGAAAACATCAAGTGAAAATTGCTGGAGCTTTACATCAAACGAACTTCTGACTGAAAGTTGTTAGGACTATGGGGATCGTGAAAATCAACTCTTTTTACGATGGCAGTACAAATCGTGCTAGGCAAGATGTTGTTTACTTGATGAATATTTTTTAATAATATATCAAGTACTTTCAAAATCTTTTGAATGTAACAGTATATATAAGAACATCCATAAACAGTTTTAATTCATTATAACTGCAAAAGTTTACAAGGGGTTTAATGAGTCTTGCTGGGGAGTTGGGTACTTCAGCAATAACCTACATTTATCTGAATTCATTATGACTGTGTTTGTACAAGAAGAGTTTTACTGTATATATGTCTATACATTGATTTCAAGTACATGTACTTGTGCTAAAATTTAAGTTAGTGGTATTGTGTCTCACCTTCAATGGAGTCGTATTTCTCATTGTAGTAGCAGAAGTTATCAGACAGCTCTCTCCTTATGACTGCCTCCTCTATGTATGAATCCACAGACTCCTTGTATTTACTGCGGTACTGTCTTACTGTCAGGATACAGCGCTGCACTGATATCTGTCCTATATATAAAGACAAACATTGTTAATATTCTAGAGTAAGATTACTTCTTGTATAAAAAAGTTTAGAGATGAAATATGTTTGTCTTCATAATATTCAATGTCTTTATATGTAACTTTTGTGCTGAAACTTGAAAGTTACCATACATAATTATATATTGGCTTGAATATACTAGTACATTTATAGGAAAAAGGCAATGCACCCAACACTTAATATTATCAACTAAGTAATATATACTGTAAAATCACATATCTTCGTGGGGTCAACTTTTCGTGGTTTGAGTAAAACTTCTTGGTTCGTGGTGATATGAATTCGTGGATGAAGAATTGTTGAATAGTTATGCATGTAACATTTTACATTTTGTGGTGGACATGGCCTCTTCATACATCGAAAACAATGAAAATTACTTTATACAGGGTTATTTTCGCCCCGTTTTATTTTCACCCTTTCACACTTGCAACCAATTTTGTCCCGTTTCAAATTCGCCCAGTCATAGTTTTGTTTAAGAAAATATATTGTATATTTTTGATTCGCCCCTTTTAAATTCGCCCAAACAATGAAAGGGCCCACGAAAATTTGTGATTTCACAGTACTCAATAAGATTGAATATATATACAGTAATAGCAGAGACTTGCCAAATTTGACCCAGGGTGACAGGTTGCTGAGGGCGTTTTTATTTGGGTTATTTCTCTCTGATCCAAAGTACTTAAGTCTCTCTTTACAGAAGGACTCCAGCATGTTCAGTCCGGCTGTACTTCCGGGCACCGCCCAGTCCACCTCTGTAACCTTACGATCCACCTCCAAACTGTCCTCAGCAGCTGACCAATCAACTGGCTGAAAATTTGTATATATTTAGAACTTTACAAAAAATATACATTTGTTGCCAACAATAGATTTTTTATATACTGATTTAAGTTTTCACAGAAGTTAATAAAATTTTTAAATTCATTTAACTTAATAAGTTTTACGAGTTCCTATGATGGGAAAGTACTTTTATAGCTTAGACAAAACTTAGCTTGACCCTACAATTCATTACTCCTACCTTACTTGGTGACTTTGATTTGTGTGGGTGTTTGCAGACTGGTGGGAATTCTGTTAAGAACTGGCTTAGCTGATTGTGTATCTTGTTCCTGATGGTCCGGGCTCCGTACTCCAGTTTGGGTGAAGCTGCCCAACATGGAACCAAGTTATGAGCATCAACCTTAAAAATACAGCATTTAATATCAATTCTTCATGTTTCCTCTTTTCAAGAAAATACATGATATGAAAATTTTCCTGGATAAACAAAAAAAAAAAACTTTAAATATTTCTTAGTTCCTTTCCTTCTTGGTATAGAATATCAAAAAAGAGAGTTTTTACATGAAGGGCACCACAGACAAGAAAATTGTCTTGACATGGGGTAAAAACATAGTGTCAGTGATTCGGGCCATGATACGTGAGTGACAATTCAAACTTATGTATATACAGGTCTCATTTTTTTCCTCAAATATATGTCATCATGTTTATGGTATTACTCACTTGACAAAAAGGGACATCTTTAGGGAGAGCTTTTGTAACATCAGACACCCACTCTGCTGGAACTCTCAAGGGAGAGAAATCTGTCACCACCCCTCCTATCTTATTCTCTTTCACAAATGGAGGTAAAACATCCTTAGCGTGACCAATAAGCAGGTGGAATGATATGTCTAGGTCTTTACATTCCTAAAGCAATGAGAAATTTATCACAATCTGGTTGAGTGTACAGTACAAACTGTTTAGTCTGGCACCTGCGTAATATGTTTCACTGTGAATTCTGACTCTTATTTTTAATTCCCACTGTGCAATTTGATAAGATTTGGTTAAAACTCATATATAAATTTTCAGAACAAAGGGCATGATAGAAAAAAGCATGCAAAAAATAATTTTTCGCATTGTTGCTATGGAAACCACGCGCCTTTCAGATAGCGTGGTTTGTATTTATCATGACACTTGAATTTTTGGTTAAATAAATACTTTTTTATTACTAGTCATTAAAAAAGCTTTTTAAATTATTATTTTATTTATATAAATATACTCTATTTTAACAACTGTAGATTATTGAAATTCTCTTCACCTTTGGATAAATAAAACTAGTTTTTGGAGGTTTATTTTCTTTAAAAAACAGCAAATTTGAAGTACTCTATAAGAAATCTACAACCACTTTAAAGCTAATCAGCATAAAATATTAATTAAACAGTATTTGTTCTAGAAGAATCCAAAAAAAAATCTGCAGGCAACTAAAGCATTTGTATATAATAACTGATTTTAATCCATAATTTTCTGTCACTTTTGCTTCAAATTACCTCCCTTTGGTATAGCTCTCTAACATAGGAGGAATAAACGGTAGTTTGTTTTCAATAACAATGTACAGAAGACTAGCAGAAAATTACAAACTTGGAGCAGTCTGAGCCTCTGTTTTGGCGTTTTCATGGGTCTTCATTACGGTGAGTGATTGAAATTTTTACAATTTACCATTACAACAGTTACTGAAGAATGTCTAGCATAAATTAACCATGCAGTAAAATATGTAAAACTTGGCAAGTGTTTTTGCACATTTGAATTTAATTCTGATTGATTATATATGTTAGCATTATTTTACTATTTATAACTAAAAAGAAAAGATTATGAATGACCCGAGGAACCAGGAGGAGGGGGTATGCCCCCCCCCCCCCCCAATAATATTGCCGATATTAAACTATAATATGAGCAAATGAAATTAAATCCCCCAACTTAGATTGTTTCTGCGGGCCTAACGTGAAGAAGTTGGTCATGATCGGTTACATAACTGCATCCCAAATTATAAAGTTTAATTTGAATTAAGTTTGATTTTAATTTGTTGTATTCACGGTATGACTTTTTGTATGTAACCAAAGTCACTCACCAGCTATAATAATTATAATTGATAGTCGGGTAAATAAAAATTTTGTATAGTAAATATCTTTATTTACCATTTAAGAAAATACCTGATTTTTTACATGAAAAAATTTATGAAAACCAACACTATTATGAAATATTTGTAAAATGGAATGACCTTTGTTATGGCGCCTGTAAAACAATGAGGGACAGGGGGTTAACTCTGTACTTAATATATTTTAGTTTAGGAAAGGGGATTACCTTGGAAGTATTGTGATACAGACAACTGTATTATGTAGTGGACTAGTGGTAAAAAAATATATAACTTTTTGCTGATGTCATCCAGTGTTAACTTATAAAAGAAAATTCATATTCAGCTAACATTTTCTCCGGTACCACTGAACTAATTTAAGTCAACTAGGTTCAAATAATAAGCATCATGAGATTTAAAGCACGTAAATTTATGAAATGAATATCGATACTTCATTTTTTCTGGGGGAGGGGGGGGGGGTTATTGGAAAGAAATGAAAAACATAATTTAGAGTTTTGACAATACCTAGAACCAGTTGACCTTTTTATTGCAACTTTTTAAATTTAAAGAATAACTAAAATCAATACGGTCTCAACTTTGTGTTGTACACTTCTGTTTTTAGAATGAAATCCAGCACTTTGAAGCCAAACTCGGAGGGAAGCAGAAACAGAATTGGATGGGCTTATATAGAATTAGACAGGAAAAACATAAATAATAGTAATAATACATTTAGTAAAAACGTTAACTTTTTAAAATAAAATGATAAACCATTGAGATTTCTTGGAATTTAATTGATTCCAATAAACATGCTTTGCATTCATCATCATTGCTCAAGCTCAACTAGAAATGGTTCCTAGTATATGAAGGCAAAGCTGTATAATATTATTACATTTTAATTTTATCACTATTTCAGATTATGAGAATGCATTATTACAGTACAGACCATTGATACTGGATGTGAGTGGAAAGTATTATCGGAGACTCGGGGATCCAGAAAATAGATCCATGAATTGTACAGTGTATTCATGAAAGTGGATCAAATAAAAATGTTCAATCCAAAAGTAACATTCTTTGTTCGCCTGTAAGCATTTTTTTATTGATGTAAATCTAATAAATATCATTTTTTAGCATGCAGATTAATATTTAGCATGCGCGGATCTAGTGGGGGGGGGGGTCGGTGGGTCAGGACCCCCCCCCCCCCCCCTTGAATTTACAAGGTTAAAAATGTATATACAAAAGGAATGAAAAAAATTACCATGGACCCCCCTTGGAAAACGCCGACCCCCCCCCCTGGTAAACGTGAATACGTGTGAAATGGGTATTAAAAAGAGAAGAATGTCAGGAAATAGAAGTCATAGACTAACACCCCCCCCCCCCCCGCATTTTGAAGTATCATAATTAAAATAAGGTCAGTATTAAGTGATCAATCAATTAATTTCAAAACTGACAAAATGTTTTTGTGAAAAAAAAGAAAGAGGGCTAGTTTAAAGTCAGACGACACGTTCCTCAAATTTATGTTTTGTATCTCTAGGTATTATATATAAAAGATACTCATATTTGTCATTCTCTTCTGATTTCTACATTGTTTAAAAAATGTTTTTAGATATAAGTACAACAAAAATTTCGATATATGCCATTCAAAAGATTGCCCATTAGGGTTATTATGAAATATCTTTTAAGGTCAGTTCAAGTTTAGACATTCATATATATAAAGCCGTTCCAGATTTCTATATTATTTTCAAAATGTTTTTAAATATAAGTACAACAAAAATTTCGATATATGCCATTCAAAAGATTGCCCATTAGGGTTATTATGAAATATCTTTAGGGTCAGTTCAAGTTTAGACATTCATATATATAAAGCCGTTCCAGATTTTTATTTTAGGCACCAGTAGCTACTGAGGTCTTAGCTGTCTTGCAATATTGTTTCTTAATTAGTACAGCAGGAGAATATATCATCGGTTCAATACCAAAGGTTGCAGTTATTTGTTCTTGACAGACATGGTATCGTTTTTTGAAAGTGCATGGTGTGGGGCAGGCATAAAAAAAATGCAAGAAAAAAGTGGGGAAATTGACCAAGCTTGGGGGGGGGGTAAAACATCAGATTATGTTGAGGAAATAGTTGGTTGGTCGGGGGATGTCACCCCCCCCCCCCCTTCCCAACCCAAACCTGATGCTACATGCCTGATTGATATGGTTTTACTTTAAAATTTGTGACCTGTCATAGTGACTCTCTTTCATAAACTAGAATTTCGTGAGCAAGCTCATAAAATGATGCCCACCCTCCTGCTATTGAATTAAATGTTTTTTATTGCAAAAAATCCAAATATTAATTTAAAACCTTTTTAAAATTTTGTAAGTGCAGATATACATTCCAACTATGACTATGACATATACTCAAGTCATAGGTAGTAAAACCGTTGTGTTGAGCACAGACTTCCAATTTCTCTTCATTCGAAGTTGGATATGTAAACGTGCCAAACTCATATAGTACACTTTTACTGCAGTGACCTTGAAAAAGCTATGTCTTTGGGTCAATTAAGGTCAAACATGTCCAAATGACCTTTGGTCAAGGTCATGACAAACCTACAGCTATAAAATAATACCCGAGATGAAACTTGAAGTCTTTTCATTAGAATGTTACAGAATAGGCAAAGATTGCACTATTCTTCTACCAATGACCTTGAACTTGTTCAAATGACCTTGGGTCAAGTTTTTGACACATCTCTAGATCATAAGCAATCTTAATATCAAATATGAACTTTCAGTGTCACTTCATTGAAACGTTATGAACAAGTCAAAATTTTACATACATATGGATGGGTGAACAATGTGATTCCTACCCCCCCCCCCTTTTTATGGGTCATTTTCAAAAAATGTCCAATTTTTGAATGGCATAATTTTGAAAAATGAAAGTGGTTTTACTATGATTTTTTCAACGTTATTTGAATAATATAGTAATAAACTACTAAAATCCACTGCATTGCATAAAAGAAAATACTTCTTTTAAATAATATTGATCATACTTTATCTTAGTCATTTTAACTTTAATGTCCTTCCTGTTACTTTCATAAAAAGAGCTGTAAAACTCTATTTCAAAATTTTCATCAAATTATCTTTTGTATACCGTTAATAAATGAAAAAAATTATCATTGAATGCCAAGATGTTTGACATTCATCTAATATATGAGCGTTTAAAAGCATGTCAAACTACCATATACCAAACAGAAGCAAAATCTACGGGTTTTTCTTCATGAAATGCCTTATTGCGGAATGTTTATATGCTATAGTTGAAAAAAACATTCTTGTACATTATTTTTGTGATTAAAATAAACAGTTACAGAAAGTTATTTAAACAGGTGCTCTGCCAAAGCAATTTAAACTAGGAAAATATACTGGTAACAGTAAGGACTCGGGTAACAGGAAGGACAAAACAGTAACAGGATGGACAAAACAGTGTAACAGGATGGACAATGAAATCTACATTTTAAATAAAAATTGCCTTTTTTAAACTTTATTGGTTAGGAAAAGAGAAATAAATGTAGAATAAAAACATGATTTTGTCAAACCTGGCAAATTTGAGACAATAAAAGACATTTATGTCCATCCTGTACGAAATTTAATTCTAAAGTGCTATTAAAATATTTATCAGTTCAATTTTTGTTTATTAAAGGTACTCTATGCTGTTGCAAAACTAAGAGTTTTTCATAATTTTAAGAAAAACAAATGATGAAACTTAAATAGGTATATAAATACCAGGATAATTTGTCCCTCCTGTTACAATTTTTGTCCATTCTGTTACAAGAGTGCATGTTTAAGTTATAATGGCACAATTTGAAGCACTAACTTATTTCAATATGATTTACGAAGTTTTTTAACATGTGTTATTAAACTTATATTACTTAGAAAAATAAAAGTAATTGTTTTTATTGTTAAAACTCAAGATATGAAGTTCAGTTTTCCTTACTGTTACCATATTAATGGTAACAGGAATGACAGTAACAGGATGGACATTTCTCATATAAATCACCGGTTATTTATTATAACGTACTCTTTTTGCATCATCAAGACATTGAAACAGTTTCTTTGTAACTTAGTAAATCTGATTGTTTAAGCAGAATAAACAATTTAAAGAGTATTTGCATATTATGAAGGTAACAGATAGGACATATTTTCATTATACTCTACCAATAAGACAAACTTATCGACCTTTGAACCCTTTCTTTACTCACTTTCAATTCATGGCGCTCATAAACTTGAGACAACAGAAAATGATGATATATTGTGGATCATGAAAACAGTTCCTAGGAAAGTGAGATATCTTTTATTTTAACATTTTCTTTCTGATAACAGGAATGACATAAACTGGTGGGACATGTCACTTCCTGAATGTTAAATGCACGATACTAGTATTTAGTGGGCGGCATAAGTAAAACAATCATATTAAATTAATCTGTAAATGAATTCAATTAAAATGAGGTGCAAAATTTGTACATATCTTCAAATTTTTGTTAATGTGACATGGTTTTACTGTTAAATTTTACTA